CCCCCCCCCCCCCCCCCCCCAGCGACCGAATACGACCCCCTGTTGGGGAATCCACAACAACGATTTGCCCTGCAGCAACCGGCTGCCACTGTCTTTTCTGTTCGCCTGTCCCCACCGCCCCCCCCCCCCCCCCTTACTGAGATAGAGCTCGTGTGTTGATTCCCTTCTCGTCAGAATGCGCAGGCGAGCAGAAGAAGAAAGTGCAGCTTGGCATCACCTGCCTTATGCCTCTTGGAAACTTTACCCCTTTTAAACTCTATGATCGGCTATCCGGTGAAATGTATCGTAATGCCTTGGGTTGGTCCAATGAATTTTGCCTTGTAGATTTCGAGCGAAATGTGAAAGAGCTATGAATACTCGTATTGGTCGGATTGAATCTTTGTTTCAAGAGCTAATATGAATGTATACCACTGACCTACAATAAAGCTTCACAGGCCACATAACCAAAAATGGCAGCCAACATAGCAGAAAAGAAGACAGAATCAGAGAAACAGCTTTCGCGGCACGGATCTGCAAGATATATTTTCTCTTAAAACTGTCAGTGGTGGCAACTTTAGTGACATTTTGTCCATAAAACATATTTACCCGTGTACTTTCATTTTGTCCGCATATGTGGAGATGCATGATAACGACCGTGTATCGAAAGAGAGGGACTGGTTCTAGGTGACCGCTTTGTGACATCCATATCTCAGTGCTGGTGGTGGAGCTGCGAGCACAGCAGCGGTAGTCTTGTTCGCTGTGGATGCTGGAGCGTGTCAAGAGGCTGAGTGGCGGAAGGCGAGCCCGTTCTCCTCACTTATACTCGCTTGCTTGCTTCAACAACTGGTGGCGAAGGGGTAGGCGCAGCGCTACACCCAGCTTCTCTGAGACGCTCCATCGTAAGGAGCGAACAAGAGACTGTGCACGCAAATTAGTCCGTAGCTGCTTTCATGCTTTCCTCGAGGGTTAGGGAAAAAATTAGGTATCGATCCAGAGTCTGGTAAAGTGTACGTCGCGGTAGTAGGGTAGCAGACAGCTGGTAGAGTATGGGGAGATGAGAGGGTAGCAGGCTGCTGGTCGCTGGCCGACGCTGGCAGGCGCTAGATCGATACCTAGAGTTCCCTAGCCCTCGAGACGATGGCGGACGCTGGTAGACGTTGTTAGACGCTGTTGGACGCTGGCAGAAGCTAGATCGATACCTAGATTCCCCTAGCCCTTGAGACGATCGGACGCTAGTAGACGCTGGTGGACGCTGGCAGACGCTACATAGATATCTATGGTTTCTTAGTCGACGACGCTGTCGAAGGCTCGGAACGCTGGTGGACGCTATTGGTCGCTGGTGGACGCCGCAAAGTATGAACGCAACCTCAAGATTCATGCAGGAATCTAGAAAGCCAAACAATGATCCATCGTTGAACGCCGTGAAGCACTTCAAATCAAAAGCGATAATGCATGAAAGCGTCTTTTATTATGACTCTGAAGACCGCAACTTCATGAAGAACACATCAAAGCGACATACCTGCCGAGAAACACTTTCCTTTTGAAGAAGTTCTTTTAGATGGATGGGAATTGTAGTTATTGAATATCGTAATGAACTGCTTCGAGAAAAAGGTGTCCCCAATCGAGAAGCTCTTCTTGTCACCTGAAATTATATCATATATTGATTGCATTGGCATTGTGACCCTGCACAAGTGAGATCAAACTTACAAGGAAAGGATGGTTGGTCG